TGGTCTTTTGTGTAGTATAGGCAAAAAACTGGAACTGAATAAGTATAGGCATACATCTTTAAACATCTGTGTACACGTGCTTGGGGAACCTGATTGGCCCAAGTTTCCCAGATGCATGTAATTGTATGTTTAAGGCAATGTGTACAGGCATATTTTATTTCCAACTTTACATCTTTGTACTGGAAAAAACCAGTGACTAGGTGTTTCCATCAGCAACTGTGATTTGTGTTCATATGTTTGTCCATCTTAAGTCAACTAATGGACTGTTCACACTACGGAATTTCACCAGTTATTTGCCTACTTGAATGTCTGACTGCATGGAGAAGAGTTAGCGTAATCAATGTCTTTTTCTTGGCAGCTTGAGACCCAAGAGTCCATTGGAGAGAGACTGCAGTCACAAGGGAGAGATTGTAGTTCGCAAACAGTAGATACCTTGATTGGGATGGCTATATAGTGAGCCAGTGAAGGGCAGCTGGAGAGAGAAGGAGTGGTATTAAACCCCTGCCCAGTGACTTTGTGTGGGGGCATATACGAAGATTGCAATGCCATTTCCTTCTTCATTCAACTGGGACATGTGCGTGATGGAAATTGTGTGGATAACCTAACCAAGGGGTGCATTTTCAAACATGTAGCAAGTAACCACACCCACCCCTGTGAATGGCGGGAAATAGAACCAATGTAGATGAGCATGAACAATTCCGTATTGAGAAAAACTACATTTATGTGCTTCAAAGGGGTTTGTGTGTTTGCATCGTAAGTCAGGGAATCATCTGAATTCAAGAACTGAAGGCCTGTAGACAGCTCTGAAGTAAACAATGTGTTCTGATAGACTTCAGAGCAAAACTATGCTCTAGGCAGAGCCTGAAGACTGTGATTGTAAATTGCTTTGAGTTGGCTTTATTTAATAAATAATAATAGTAATTTCAAGATCTACCCCTCTCTCAGTGAGGGAGAGTTGATGCTCTGACCTGGAACTTAGCATTCCATTGATGCTCTATAGTTATTTGCCAAATCTGTTCATTCATTTTGACTTATGTGCTGCTTTGTGTCTAAAGGCTTCAAAACTGCTTACAACAGATTATACTGCAATACATTAGTTTTATTAAATTGTTACCACATGTTAACTAACATAATAATTGATTGTCGTGCGATGGGGATGCATCAGTTACTAACCTCAATGTTCACAGTATGTCTGGAAGATGAGGTGTTTTCTGGACTACCTGAAATGCAGCTGCACATCTTCTTGTAGATGTTGGAAGGTGCAGCCATATTCAGCCTGTTCTGCATCAGTTGCACTGGCTACTATTTTTTTATTTCCGGCCACAACTCAAGGGGCTGGTTTTAGGCATTAAAACATTGAATAGCTTGGGGCCCTTAATTCCCACCTCCACACCTGCTATTAAGAGTGCTCTGGGTAACTGCAGCAAGCTATCATTCATATTTCCCCACAATGCACATTGGCCTTGCACCAGTGAAGCATCTCTCTGGAGAGACACTGCATTCAGGCCAATTGCGGAGTTCAGTTGTTCACTTCAGCTGCTACAGCAGCAGCCTTATACTCCACTCAGTATCACTAGGACCCATTTCTGCCATGTGCCCTGCTGCATAGCTGTCAACTTTCAGATTTGAAAATAAGGGATCAGCAGCCTCAAAAATAAGGGACCAACAGCCTCACCTGTCCCAGGGACAGTCTATGGGATATCTAACAATCTGGGGTAGCAGTGGGAAGCAGTGGGAAACGGTGCTGGAATAAGGGAATTTCCCGCAAAAAAGGGACGGTTGAAAGCTATGCTGCCTGCTGGGCCACCCATAAGCCTTTCACTGGTTGAAATCTAGTCAACTAGTTTTCTAGTCCATTCTATCCTTATAGCGCCTTAAGGATAATATTTGCAAGGAGCTGATGTTCCTTAGCTATGGCTCCAAAACTTTGAGATTCTCACCCTTAGGATAGAAGATCTGGGCTGTAAAACCTTCCTCCCCTCCCCCCGGCTTTGGTTGAACTGGTCTTTTTATTTGTTAACTATTTGGCTTCTAGAGGATTGTAATCTAAGTGCAACTCCTATATTGACCAAAATATTTATTTGCATTGCTCTCTCTTGCATTCTCTTGCACCTCAAGAATAGTCAGATGCTAACTTAAAAAGTTCATCATAGGCCCAAAAGGAGAATTAAGGTTGTGGGGTGAAAATGCCCCAAGAGGTGCAGTATATAATTGTTTAAAATAAGTAATTGTAAATGAAAAATACATCCACAGTAATAAAAGTGAATTTCCTGCTAATATACCTTGTCTTGCATCCCAGGACTACATAAAGCAAATCTATTTATTTTTAAAATAGTTTTTCATTATGTTTCACTCATAATGCCCATGTTAGTTTACTTAAAACGGCAATATATCTCAAATTTAACACAGCCAATCTCTTAATTTAGACATTTGTGAATTCTTTTGGTATTTAGTATAGATCAGTATCACTGTTACAGTAATGTAAAATGACATTGCTTCATTTTCTTGGTATACTGTCCCTTTTAATATTGTTAACAAGTCTATTTTAGGGTCTAAAGTAATTTTTTCTCCAAACTTTGAATGGCTTTTAATATTTGCTTCCCAAATCCTCTAGCATAGGCACTGGACCACCAACAGTGGACAAAGGAGATTTAAGTCTCTAGTGTGAAAATGCCCCCAAAGGTATAATGCAAAATTTGGGCCACCAGTGAGCAGAAGTTAAGTCACCATTAAATCTCATTCTTTTCCTTTCAGTGGGACTTACACATGGCTTACTTGGGTGATTTTGTGCCCTTTGTCTTTATTGCATAAACATCTGTTGGTGTAGGAGTAGGCAGTGTTTTCCTGCTGACATTTAGCTGAAAAATTCTATGAAAATTAAATAATACAATAGTTCTAACACTTCCAGAATGTTCAGAGTAAACATACCATCTGAAAATGTGCACAAAGAGCACGAGTTCTGTCAGAAAGTTACAGCATTTTGCTGAGTACTTACTTATTTGAATAATTTATACATCACTTTTTGTTCGAAAAAAATACTAAGCTTGTGTGCAGCCTTCTAAAATACAGTTAAAATCAATACATTACAAAGATAAAATAAATGATACTGCATGACACATAAGTGTCCACAAATAGTTCAAAAACACATTAGAACTCATAGCATCCAAAGGCCTGAGAGTACAGTACGTAAGTTTTCAGCAGGCCCTCTCAGGACTTCTGACAATTCAGAGGGGAAGCATTTCCATTTGGGAGTGGGGAGAAGCACAACAGGAAAGGCTGTCCTTTTGGTCCCTGCCTGATGGACTTCTGCAAGCTGGGGTATGACCAGCTCTGTGGGATCAATCAAATCTATAGAAGAGAAGGCATGACCTCAGGCAGACTGTCATCAATAAAACCTTAAACAAAGCCCGTATGCTTTCTAAGGATTCACTTTACATTTAGGGATGCTTGAGAAATTAAATCCGGATTCCAAAGAAAACTCATTGGATCTGCACCTGGTATAAACTGTATATCAGAAGTGTGGATTCCAAAGCAGAGCTACAGTCTGATATGCATTTTAGTCCAGGAATGGTTCATGGGGCAGCCATTCCCAGCCATGCTGCTCTTAAAGTGTTCCTGACAGGGATGGCAATAGCATCAGGCCCTCGTTGCTACAGGGCAGTGCTATTTTTCTAGAAAAAGAGGTACTAGAACTCACCACGAATGCCTCCCTTGTCTTCTTATAATGACAATGGTTCCCACCTGAGAGGTTCTGGAACCGAGTTCCTGCAAGTTCCAGCTAAAAAAAAATCCCTGCCCCCCCATCCATCTGCATGCCCCCTTGAGGGCCCGGGGTACCCCATTGTTTTGAAGCAGATGTCTGGAGGGAGGAAGGGGTTCAGGGGCTACAGGGTGAAGGAAAAACAGGTGAAGCCCAGTTGCACAAATGCCCCCCTGCTCATGCTACTTTGAATCTCACCCATTGCAATTATCAACAAATAATTATGATCTCATCATTAAAAAAAAAAATCCTCAGCATACTGTCATCTAAAAAAAAAACCCCAAACCAAACCCTGCAGATTTTTAATCCTAATAACAACAGCTAGCTTGAAAGGTTTAATGTGGAAAAATTGATCAGGTTTAAGAACATTAGAGTTCTTAATTATAGACATAAATGAGAAATTTTTTCTTGGGGAAAATCTATCAGAAGTTGGCAAAATGTGACTGATTGTTCATTTGAAATTATTTTAAAAATAGTTTTGTTGGTACAATTTTAATGGTGGTAGAACTAAATGAAATTGAAGTATAAATCATATGTAATCTGTAGTATGATAATTGTTGGTGATGTCACATAATAATGATCCTTTTCATATATCATATAGTGTTTTACTGAAAATATTTAGAAGTAATCTGGAAATAATTTAAAAGGTCCACTTAACCCCAATGTAGTACATTTGGAATATTTAAAATATATTGTTGCAATTAGCAAATTGTTTAGTAACGGCAAGAAAAGATGTACTGAGCAGCCCTTTTAACAGAAGGATACAAATGAGTCCAGACTGCGGCATGACTAGGAGAGAAAAAAACCCCACCAGCCACTCTTGGACAGATTTATTGAAAAATTGCCTTTTTTAATCCACTGGAATGTCAAGACAACCTTACATATTTTTTTCCTCCTTTGTGATCAGTAGGAATTATTGTTTCATGTACGGTAATTAGAAACACAAGATGTTGCCTTATACAGAGTCAAATCTAGCTCAGTATTTGTTGACACAGACCGGCAGCAGTTTCTGAAAATTTCAGACAAGAGTCATTCCCACTCTTACTTGGAGACACTGAGGATCAAACCTAAGATCTTTTCTATGTGCTTTACTATACATTTTCGTTTATCCTTCTACAAGACAGTGGGGGAAATGTTTCATGAACATGACTTTGAATTCTTTACGCAGTGCAGTCTTATACATGTCTACCCAAAAAAGGTAATTCTCAGTACATTACTTTCTGAGACATTTTGGCTTAGCCCTAGAAGTTAGACAGGGAACAGGAGAAGTGGGGCAAAGAGGTGGAAGGTGGTGAAGGAGGATCAGAGTGGGGTAGGTGGGTGCCATGATGCTTTTTGTCCCCATGAGCAGTTAGGCCAAGAGGCAGGCTTCAGATGTGCCTACAAGGAGGAGTGCCTTAGTCACAGACTAGTACCAAGTTGGGCAAACCTCTTGGCAGCTCACTGCTTAAGGCAGCCTCCTTTTGTCTGTGGCGCATGCAATGAAAGGGAAGCTTGGTCCAGGTATAGCCAGGGAGTTGCCAAGTTTTATTCAAATTTCATCTTAGACATCTTGGGGCAGGCTTGTGAAAATGAGGAGGATCCAAGGAAAAACGAATTTAGAAGAACAGCTAATCAGTTAGCTGATTTTTTTTTTTAAGTAGCTAATTTATGAGGAAGGAACATTTCTATATTGCTTCCTGCAATTACAAATGACATCTTAGTTCTTAAACCATCTGGGGTGTGAAAGCAAATGCATCTGCGTAGCCCAAATTGATCTGAAAAAGATGGAAAGGAAACTTCTCGCTGTGGAAAAATCATCTTCCCCACGCTCTTCCCCATCTTGCCTCTCCATTTCATAATGTCATTTACAGGTCTGTCCACACGTGTACATGCCCTACATGCATAAATGTGTGCATAAATTGTGCATAAATTGTTTGTGCATTATTTGATGCTCTATTTATTGCTTATAATTACTACTTTTGTTATGCTGTATGTATTTTTCCCCCATGTTGTAACCCGTCCTGAACATGGTTTGAACTATGGAAAGGTGGTATACAAACAAATGTAAGTATGTATGCATAGTTCCACAAAATTTCATTCAGCACTGATGGGATCACTGCACTGGGCTTTGGGTTTCTTGTCGTTCTTGAGCTGCTGGGAATGTTAACTGCAACTGCATTGAATGAGGTAGTTCTTTGAGCAAATCTAGGGGGAAAGATGCATGGTTGGACTATATGTGTAAACCAGGTCTTAACACTCTTCCCGGCCTCTTTGCCCCCTCCTTCTACTTCCCTCCAACCCCTTTGCTGGGATCTTGACTTACTTTGGCAGTTAGCTGCGTATGTAACAGGGTTGCCATGGAAACAGTATCCAGCACACTGCGCTCTGTCTCTCTGTTCTCTCTTGTCTTTCCTATCCCACCCTCTTCTTCTGTTTCTGAAGCCTGTTGCCATGGAAAAACTTATAATCAACTAAAATTCTCAGATCCCCTTCCTTTTGTTTCATACATTAAGATGCTTTATCTTAAGGAAGGCTTAGGGACAAGGCTTCAGTTTCCTCTTTAAAAATCACAATACCTTCCTGATGGTGTGCAGGTGTGTGATGTCTTGTGTCCTCTGTGATCACAGCAGCATGTCCTGTCAACCTGCCTCAGTATCTTGTATGATACTGCACAGGATTTATTTATTTTTTGAGGAGGGAGGATTTTTCTTGGACTGCCTGGCACTGCTACTTGATGCTACAAAACTCTTGTCCAAGCAAAAAAAGAAAAGTAGTACTCATATAATAGTACTCTCTCTGTCGATGAACCCATATTACTTTCCCAGTAATCCACAGGAATGAACACAAAGCTCTCTCTGAGGTAAATTTGAGTCATTCCTTGAAGCCCAGTGTCAGCTAACTTTTGGATATCTTGTCCTGCCTCATGTTCCCATGTTTGCTGCATTCCCTGTTTCCCCACTCCTACTTTTGGGGCTGTAAGGAAACAGTGTCATGAATAGCAAACATTAAGGGTATTTGTGAGAGGTGAAATTAATTTGTTGGAGTTGGTGTGGGTAAGGAAAGGTGCTATTATTGCACAGGCCAGAAAGGTGAAAGTAGGATGACAGTGGTTATGGTAATGATGAAAAGCAACAAGCAGTTCAGGTGTTGGTAGTGAAGAGGAGTCACTGACAACAATGGCAGTTTAAATAAAATGACACTGAAAATGGTTGTGGCTAATTGGGGACATGACTGTGATGAATAAGAGGAACACGACTAATGGAAAATCTGAGATGTTTGTGCCTGTGATTCAGGATGCTACTGTTGGCTCTGGAGTTGTATTTGATTTCAGTGCTTTTATTGAGACATATCCTAAAGCTGTACTTTAGCTACATAAGAGAACTGATTTTATCTTCTTCTTCTTTTGTCTTTCCCTCATGCCTCTCTCACAGTTTCACTCTGTCTCTTTCTCTCTAACACACAGTTTTATTAATATTGCGGTCTTATCATTTAATTAGTCCTGGGAACTGTTTAAAAGTGGTATAGAAATCTAACAAACAAATGAATACATAGTATTAAATGAGCTGCTTCTGATAAGTAGTCTCAGTCTATTGGTTCCCTGAGGAACCATGCCCTCTTGGAAGGTGAAATGTGAACATGATGTCTCAGGAAAATGAAAATGAATTTCAAGGAAGTTTGAAAATGTGGTTTGGTTAGGAAAGGGTAAATAGATTAAATCCAAAGTAATTTCAGAAGCTTTAAAGAACATGTTACTATGGAAACATCAACCCACAAAGGGGAGAGAGAGAGAGAGAGAGAGAGAGAGAAGGAAGAATAGAGAAAATTGGGAACTTTTTTTTTTTTTTGGAAAGGAGGAACTGTCATGCTCAAACCCCCACAGAATATTGACAAAATAATGATAATAACTGTTCTTTTTAATTAACTTCCCATAAAAAATATTATGTTGGGGGCTGAAACAGCTCTGAACCACGGACTATATATATATATATATATATATTATATTATTGGTGCCACAGTACATTAATGTTTTCGAATGTGAAGCTCAATAAACAATAGTTTTATTCCATTGCTGGAATTTGATCCAGTGTTCCTACATGAGGCATGCTAGGATTTGTGTCACTCAGATGGTGATGGCTTAGGGCAGCATAGCATTTTTTCATTAAATTCTGAGGTCTTCTAGAGTGCTTCCAGTAAAGTAGTGTCAGCACATTCCTCTGCTTTTCATTTGGGACAGTAAGGTTGCTTCAGACATTATATTGTTGTAAGTTTTCTTTGGGGGGGTGGCAGTCTGTATGATGCCCGAGTCCCTTCTAATCCCCAGTCCACCAAGGGTTAAATCTAATGGAGAATTCCATTGTTGAGTTAGCAAGGCAAGAGTCATGGTCGCCACCAACACAAGTACTACATCAGTACAGTATGGTCATTACGGGGGGTGGCTTTGTGACAGAGGACACATGGGTGGGCCCACTCCATCACCTGGCTGGTTGTGAGAGAGACAGAGTTGTATATGAGAGAGCTGGCCTAGAAGCAGGCAGAAGCCAGAGAGACAGAACCATTCTAGATTTCTGCTTGAATTCACGGCTGTAACTATGGGAGAAGCAATACCTCCTGGGGTGTTAATGCTGTGAGCCCCTCCATGCTGAACACCCCTTCTTATTTTCTGCTGTCCTTGGGATACTTTCCAATTTGTGCCTTCCATGTGTCAGAACCTGACCCCCTCTTTCCTTTCTGCATTATCTCTTCTTCTTGAGCAGCAGAAATATATCTGCAGAGAAGGGAAGGTTTATTCTGTCTATGACTATTGCCAAGGTTTAGCTCTCTTAAAAAAGTACTGTCTCTAGTCCACTTGTAATCTCCCTTAGTAAATAAATCTGAAAGCACTGAAACAGTCCATAAAAGAAGAGAAAGTTGTTTAAATGTCAATCTTGTGATGTACAGGATTCTAACCCCACCTGTTCCTGTTCCTATAGGAAAAGAAGCACAAGAAAAATTCTCACCCTCACATTCTACCATCACTTCTTAGCCATTTTGCATGGAATTGTTTTGCCACAAATTCTACCTGACACTTCCCAGATGTTCTCCCCGAACAACCAGATGCACCTACATCCCTCAGCTGAACAAGCCGTCAGCACCATAGTAGTTGACGTGGCACAGGATGCTGGTGGAGCATGGGTTGGGGTGCGGGATGAGTGATACAAGATTTGGCAGTTCACCTGTGATATGCACCAGAAAACAGTAGGAGTCTAATCTGGAACTGAACTGAATTCATTTGGGTCTCTTAGATTGCTCTTTATCTCTCATGAGAACAGGCTGTTCTGAGAATTTTTAAGGTCTAAAGTTGGGTCTGAAGTAAGCCTGCATGTCAGCTCATTGTGTGGCTTCCAAGATAAAGGTAGATGAGATGGAAGGGAAAACATGTAGCATGTATTTAATTTAATTTAATTTAATTTAATTAATTTATACACCACCAAATCAACTATGTCCTATGAGCATTTCACAATTTACGTAAACGTTTGCAGAACAAAGGTGTGGCCAAGATGCTGAGCCAGGAACTCGAAAAATTTCTTTTGCTATCTCTTTTCCTGCCATCATTTCTAATTAGGAGGCCCTTGTCATCTGATGAAGGATGACCATATGGAATAGAAATAGGAAATCCTAAGTTGATTGACATACATCTTTAAAAGGCGTGTCAATCAACAAAGGATTTCTTCTCTCCATCCCTTTGAGAATGTCGTCTAAAAGATCTAAAAACAATGCCCATAGATGTTAGTGCTCTTTCTTTAAGATTCAGCTGTTCTCAACTGTTATTTTTTGTCAGCTCATCAGCACTCTTTCTCTCCATTCTCAAAATGCCTTTGTTTCCTCAGAATTATGCTCTGCATATATTGCCAAGAATAAAATTGATTTTCTGGTTGTTGTTTTTTTGCATTTTCCTCTTGCTTCTTTTGTTTATATGTCAGATTCTGTCACATTGAAAATAGAAAGGGCCCCCTGCTACTAATACTGGAGCAGCGTTTCTGTTTTGAATTTTTTTCAACTGCTTGTTTTTGGGAAATTGTGAACCTTAGAATAAGCATGCAGTTTTCAGACTGGATGTTCATGACTCTGTATTGTAACAACTACTGACAGAACACTGAATTTGTCTGTGCGTTTTGTGTGTGTTTGTGTGTGTGTGTTTAAGTGTATCTGAGAGACCTCTACTGGCTGAATTGGGGCATTTTTCAATTTGCCTATACTATGGCTCAGGGTTATCTCGGATTTCAAACATACTTCAGATCTGTTTTATAGGTAATCTTAAGCAAAGATGGCTTGCTTCAAACATTAAATTAGTAACAAAATTAATATGAAAATTAATTTAATCTGTCATAGTTGGTCTTCTGTACACCCTGATCCCAATTAGACCTTTGCAGATTTAAAAGAGCAGGCCCAGATTAGCCTGATCATTGCAATGTAGGGTTGCCTTCTTCTGTCAGACTACTGTAACATCTGCCTACTCAGACTAGCAGTGGCTTGCTAAAGTCCCAGGCAGCAGACTTTTCCATCCCTGCAGCCTGAAGTGTTTATTAAAATAAGAAATGCCAGCAGTAGTGTGGTGCCAAATTCAGAAGTATAGGGTCCCTTCATGATAACCATAGTCACACCCTTGCACAGCCAGATCATACAACCTTCTAATATTATACAATAATAATAATAATAATAATTGGCTGCATTATAATGATCAGTGCAGATAGCCACATGCTAGATCTAGTTACACATACATGGGCAAATGATTTGAGGTGCTCCAGTATCTTCTTTCAGATTGACTCAAGTTGTGCTTTCTTTGAAGTTCCATTGTTTGTAACAGAAAATGCACACCATTATCTTGAAATTGAAGCAACTTGTGTTTACATTGTTCCTAAATGCAGAACTTTGGAGCATACAAAACAACACTTCCTCACTGTTCTTCTTTTATTCAGGTAAAACAGTAAGGAAAAGCATACAGTCTTTGTTTTTCAAATTAGTAGAAAACCTCACCTGGCTATTTGATGTTATACACCCTACTTTTGTAAAACAGTGTTAAACATACTGGGCTGCCAAGGCTGAAATCCTGTACCCACTTACCTGTAAGTAAGTCCCATTAACCTAAAAGAGGCTTTTGTTCTGTGAATGGTTAATGAGTGCTTAGACATCAGCTTCTACACAGTCAGAGACTTGCGTAAGCCTCTTTGCAAAGGTCCATCTCAAATGCCTGCTGAGGCAGCCAAGGCGGGGTCACCTGCTGTTGCAAAAAAAGGAGCCCGTTTGCACAAGCAAATCAGCAAGATCCTGGCTGCTTAGGAACAGGGTCAGTGCAGAGAGTAGTGACATGGAGGTGTAGCTCCATTGGCCAGCAATGGTATGCATCCTAGCAAAAGAGTGACTATTTAAAAGTTGGGCAGGTGAGACAAGCAGCGGTGCATCCAGAGAGGAAGAAAACCAGGGTGAAGCTCTTTTTCCTCTCTACTCCTAAGGCCTAGACAGAAGCCCCCGGGGAAGGGCTGAATTACCAGCTACTGGGTCTGCCTCATGACAAGTGAATAATTTAGAAAGCAGAAGAATACCTGATTCAAGTTCACTGAAAGGATTGAGAGGCAACACTTGGTAGCAGAGGACTGTTAGTGCAAAATATGTAATAGAGAATCCAGTAGTCCAGAATAAAAGAATATTTTTTAAATTATTATTTATTTACTGTATTTATAGTGTGCCTTTCAGCCTGAAGTCTCCCATATGCACAGGGATATATGCAGTTCACCAGGTTCACTTCATTATTGTGGATTCTGTTTCTCCCCAAGTTGTGTCACATGCTGGAACTGTTTTTTATTAACTTGGGAGGGAAGGTATATCTCAGAGGTTATAATTCCAAACTTTTTAATGCTTTATGGAGTCTTCCAGTGGTCTGCTTTTGGGTCATTACCTTTATCAAACAAATATGCAACTATTTGAATTTTTGGGATTGAGGAAAGTCTGAAACCAAATATATACTGGGTGGCTTTTGTTCCTTAATGTTTCTACCTAGTGTCTTTGATGCAGGTCTTGATAAAACATCTCAGTCTAGATTATCATGGGTCATTGGTACTAAATCCTTCCAGAAGGAGTCTCTAAGAGCAGACAGCATGTGACCCAATAGTGTTTTTTGAATACAGGTTAAAAACTGGGTTTAGTGCACCCAGCAGAATTAGAAAGATTTTAAGGCCTCATATATTTGCTGCATATGTTACCGACATAACCATTAAAAAGTTAGGAAGTCATTAGAGTCCTCATCCAACCCTTGCAACCTACAACTTGTGACTTCATCAGCCTAACATTACTTCACCCACATTTACCACCCACTGCACACATGCCTTCTGTCTCCACATGCCTTCTGCTTGAGTTCAGGAACTGGGCTTCTTTCCCAGTTCCTTTGTTTTCCCATGTCTCTCTCCCTACATTTGAAGTGCGGGGGACAGCAGTTCAGTGACTTTTTTTTGGTACATCAGTGCTTTTGTCCATAAATCATCAGTTCTGCAGATATTGCTTTCATTATACCAAATATCCCTCAGGTACTGATGTCTTGCTGCAAATATTAACCTCTACTGTGGCTATTGTTTGCCTCTGCTTCAAGTTTCTTCACCGCTTTCTATTGCCCATCTATGTCTCAGACACATTTCCTCTCTTTCATCGCTCTCATCCAGAAATGCTATGCACATCTTTCCGTTTAACCCTTTATTGAACTGCTTGTGAGAAATCATCCATTTCCCCCACTGCTCACCAGGCACCCTATTGCATATTCCATGAGCATCTATTCTTCTTATACCTCCTGCAGTTGCAGGTTATCTCCCCTCCTCAGTGTCTCTGTGTTGAGACAAGCCACTGAGCCAGTAAGTCAGGCTTGCAACGATGGAGAATGGAAGCCTGTTACAGAGCAAAACAAGTTATCAATTACCCTAACTGAGGGAGAATCAAGTTTTACGAGTTGATTTTTTTTTTTTAAAGTCAGACTTCCATTTGTTGTATTATCAGAAAATGTAAAGTGTGCATGTATGTGTGTAGCCTGGAATTTTCTGTATAGCGACTGTGTTGAGGAAAACAAGGTAACACTTTAATGAGGAAACGTGTTTAAATATTTGATGTGTACAAATTTTCCCAAAGAATTAGAGAATTCATTTGCTCACTGAAGCATTTGCATGTCCAATTGGGAGACGAAATCTTACCAGTGAAGTGTGAAACTGCTTTGAGTGCAAAGCTTAGCATGCTCCTTTCTCTGGGGTAGCCCAAAAAAATCCTCTCCCCCACCATTATTCGTTTTGGTTCAGAATGAAGAATTGCCAAGCAAATAAGAGCCAATTGGTAATACATTTTGCTGACCATTGGATTTAAGGAAATAAATGACTGGCTGATAATTCTAAGAGATCCCTTGTAGAATTCTGTACACGTGCATGGTATCTCAAAGCTGTCATGCTTAAAATCCCAGGATCTGATCATTGTTTGGAGGCTGAGAGAACTGTGCAATACTGCTGCTTGTGAGGGATGTTCAATATTGAACATTATTTTTATTTAAATGCTGTTTCATTAAATGCTAAAACACAATTACAAAAGTTTGATGCTGGCATTTCACAGCTTCCCAATATCACAGCCTGAGGACATTTGGCAAATGGCCTTTAGTGTTCTATCTGCAGATCTCAATTCTTTCACTACCTGGATAGGCAAACTGCCCATGAGGGCTGATTTTAACAAAGAATCAAGAAGAAGAATTAAACAGATGAAGCAGCATTGGAAAAGGCTTGAAGCCACTTTAGATTTTAGATGAACAATTTTTACTTCTTTAAAGTAAGGTGACGTCTTGCAGCAAATAACTGTATATGGCACCCTCCTCCACAGTTTTTTGTTTGCATTTTAATGAAGAACTACTAAGTTGCACTTCTCAAGCCAGTACATGAACTGAAACACAGCTATACTTCAAAATTCATACTTTTCCAAATTTTGAAGTGGAGCTTTCGAACTGCACAATGTGTACAAAAATGCTCATTTTGGGGGGGAAGTGTGCATATTACTGAAAATGGTCAAAGCTGCATACAAAAAATCTGTATATGAGGGAAAATATGCACAAAAATGCTGGTGAATTTCCATGATGAATTTTTAAAAAATGCAAATTGCTTATAGAAATGTAGAGCGCTGAATTTAAGACTGGAAAAATGACAAATCGAGAGAAACCCAACATGACAGATTTGTCCATCCTTAATCTCACAGCATCAGCTCACGCATGTGAGGGAAAAGAGACCATAAGCAAGACTCTGAGATCACGAGAGTACAGCATCCAGCAGCCCAGACTCCAAGTAACTGAAGGCATTTTTGGACATATTTTGCAAAATATGCCTATGATTTCAGACTATTTGTCCTTTTCTGTACCTGACAGGGGGATAATTCTTGCCACATGAATAGAGCAGGCTTATCAGCTGTCACACACGTGCCTCATGTCTATCTGCCTATTTAACAACCTTAATTACAGATTGGTGATACACCCAGGTTTCAGTGATACAAACCAGGTCAACCCTTTCCTCCATGATTAAATCATAGAGCACTAATGTTTTATTTAACAGTGTTGTCAGATTAGGGGAGTTATAGGCTCCATCACCCAAATTCTGCAACCTGAGAGGCAGCCAAGGAGAGGCAATGGTCTTCTACTAACCAATGTTCCTTCTATTGGGCTGCCTCCCAACACCATATCTCCCCTTGCCCATAACTACCGGGGTGGTGATTCCCCTCCCTCCTTCCATTTCCCAAACACTACATATATATATAAATAAAATTAAAATATAAACATATAAGTGGTCATTGGCTACAAAGATAATCACTTAATACCCTTTC